TATCACCCAAATCAATATATATATCGATTGAACAATGCTCATTACTTTGTAGATCTGCATAGTAGGAACAAACAGAAATATAGAAAAAGTAAAATAAGTTCAAATTTTAACAGGATAACGACGGGTGGCCTCTTTCGAGCTCCTAGCCAGAGTATAAAAGGCGTAGCAGATGCATTCCAGGCAGCTCCTAGGAAAGGGGGTTAGGGGACAGTCCCCTAAACAAACATAAAAACCTGTTAATGAGGAAATTAATCTCAAAATCATGCGGTCGCATTGCGAAGAATTGAAATAATAATGTGTATTTCGGCCATTTATTTGTAAAGGTTTTGCTATTATTCTAATAAAGATATTGTAATCATTTTCTATAATTTATCATACTCAATTTCTATGTATTGATGCATGTTTTGCAATATCATATACATTATGTCACTAATGTTATGTGACTGTAGGCCTATAAGTTCATTGTGCCACGTGGTTTAATGTGTCCTGTATATGGCATGTTGTATACAACGTATGAACGTCGTGCATGTATTAACTACCAATTTACAGTTGTTAACCGGCCCCAAATTGCCGAATGGGTAGCTTCGGGCTGGGAGGGGCGAAAGAATTATATGAAGAAAATAAATGCTACTACAAAGTCATGATACGATATGAATATATATATATATATATATATATATATATATATATATATATATTATTTTTTTTTTAGTAAATAAGCTATTCGCAACCCCCTCTGAATAAGTCTGAACTGACCAAGAACATGAACCCGAGTGAGCACACCCCCACTGAACGACGTCGGATGTTTAGTTGGGCGTCGAGTCAACGGATGGCGCTGGTAGACGACCGGGGAGCTCACATTTTTTAGAATGCGTTAGATAGCATGTTTCCTGTCTTTCGTAGATAGTCTTTGGTTACCGGGCGGCAACGGAAGGCCACCGCCAGGCCAGACTCACGACTCCCATTCTCCGACTCGGGCATTCTGGCAAGATGGAGCTCCATCTTTGTAGAAAATAAGAGGTGATGTGTTGGGTTTTGTTGGAGTGCCGAGAGGCAGAAGAGTTTGTGAAAAAAGGAAATTGTAGAGAGTACAGGTAAGAGAAGGATAAGGAAACACAAAATCTCGAAGGCTTTTAGCGTCCATGTAAGACTCGTTGGTTACCTTTACCTACGGAAGCGGAGGGTTAGCAAATACATTGCCTGGAAAAGCGTAGCTGTGAATATGTGGTATTTATATAATTATTATGTTCCATTCATTTGTATACATACCCCCTTTCCCACACAAAAACTTATGCGCAGACATCCACATATACATCAGAAACGCGCGCATGCCCTTGTGCATAATGTAAAAACTCCTAAACATGCTCATTACAATCACGGTATTACTAAAATGCTTCACTGGATCCTGGGATTTCCTTCATCACCGGCTCATACACATTTCTTCTTCAAAATCTCTTAAACAACTGCAGCGCACTTTCAGGACTGGACCCCAAGCTCCCGGAGTTTGTCCTGCGACAACAGAGGAAGCGATGCAACGGGTTTGTCGCGCCCACAGCCAGGCCAGCTCGAGTCCTCGACTATGATGGAGACGACGAGTGGACGCCCGAGAAGGAGCGATCTAGCAGGTAGGGCGACGACTCCAGTTTGCATAGTGAATGAGGATGCATGTACATTGCTTTTGCTGGAAGCTAACATATAAGCCTGTATCTAGCCACCTGAACATAGATTTACACTAAACATGGACAATAATGGTGCACAATCAACTATCTATAAAGGCAAATATACGTATACTAATAAACACCAACCAATGCGATGATCACGTGAGGGTAGAAAATCACTGCAAGGCAGCAAGCCCAACGCCAGCGCTCTTTCCCAGACTACACCGAAGTCCTTGGGGTTACCACTGTGACTGCAACAATCCTTTAGCACTTTAACTGCCAGCTCTTCCACAGTAATACTGGCGTTATACAAGAATGTCAAAGCACAAACGCAATTTCCATGAGTGTGTCAGTCAACAAAAAACCTGTTCGAGCTGGTGGTGGCGCCTTGCCCAGGCTCTCCCAGCCAATCATAATACAGATTATAGGAAGACCAATCAGAACTAAGCGCTGCTCGAGCGTGAACCAATCAGCTTCAAGGATGGGAAACATTTGTACAAATGGGCTATTATCAATAATTAGTCAATGCATATTTAAATCCCATTCTTACTGTCAATATATCTCTTGATATCGGTGATCGACTCAAAACTCAACCTTCCGGTATAACCATATTCTTTCTTAATTACAGATGCTGCAAGGGGCGGGGCTACTTGTTGCCTGGGTAAATTTGGCGGGAAAACGCGGTAACGTCTTGGCCATATCACATATTTCAACTTATTTCACTGGATAAACAGGATATCTGACTCATAATGACAAATATAAATTCATTCACTTCTACATCAGCCTATACACACATACGTTTCACATAACATAGTCCACATACTAAGATATTTCAAATAAAAATGCAGCAGCAAAAAAATGACAAAATTAGAACCGTTTTCTATATAATAAATAATTAATAAAAATTTAATCACTGGAAACTTACAACAAAATTCAAACTCGCAATATTCTACAAAGATAATATTACACGAATCAAACGATGCATTTAATTACTGCCTCACAAATCTATTTCTGTGACACTGCCTACTAAGACTTCCATTAAAAAGTGAGATTGCATCATTTACAACAGTAAAGAATAAATAAATAAATAAAAAAAAACAAATAAATATATAAATGAAAATAGTGAGGTTAACCATTAATCTGTCTTTACTTTTACTTTGATAGGTTGAATTATGTGAAATATTTACACAGTAATCGCGTTTCTGATAAATAGATTGTCTTTAACATAAATCTGAAATTCAAGAATGACCAAAGAAAGTCTGGAAAATATAAATCAAAGACTAATGTGCTACGAAGTCTTCAGCTAGGCTGCCCGTGTCTCACGCCTTGATATATTTTTGATAGCATTGAGCTCTCTTTGTCCTCTTACAGATGTAATTTGTAATTTCCTATATGTTTTTTTTCCCTCTGAGAACAGCAAATATCAATGCTAATACCAGTTGAAGTAATGACTTCCTTGAAAGCGATCCTGAACGCAATGACTTTTGGCGGGAAATCTTTAGGTGGATTCTCGCGAACGGATTGGTCGTGACGTCACGCCCATGTAGCTCAGAGGCTTAATCTTCAACAACAACAAAAATCAAGGCGTATCTTATGATTGAGGGGCCTTCTTTGCCTACTCGCTTAATTTACCTATATCAAAACATGATATTCTGTAATTATCAATGCTATAATTCATGAGTATGACGAAAACAAAACGTCATGATGACGTCACGGCCCCACGCAGCACGAGGCTCCAAGTGAATCGGCTCAGTCCGAGCCTCGGCATCCGTTGATCCTTTCGACATTGGGTTCAGGGAACATTTAGACTTCTCGGCCGCATAAGTGCGATGGCTGAGGACGTAAACCAACTGTTTTCGACGGAAGAATGACTCTCCTTCCCGGAGATCGAGAAGAATCGCTTCGAGAATATCCTGAGAAACTACAAAGCGATGAAAGACTTCGGTGAGTTGTGTCGCTTCGAATGTGCATTTCACTTCCATCGGATATTTATCGGAAACGGATTATTTTCTTAAGTGAGGCCGTAGAGATGTGCCAATTCTTAAAAGAAAATATGGGTATCCACTGAAAAGGAAATTACCCTAAAACTCTGTTTGAACCCCTCTAGGTCTGGCTTGCCTCCCCCCCCCCCCCCAAGGACAAACTCACACGATAATTTTTGCCTTAATTCCCTGGCCGTAGCTTAATGCTCCCAAAATAGCAGAAACTGTTTGCGCTCATGTGATAATCATTAAAACGCTAATAGCAACAGGGGAATAAACAAGCCGTGTGCAAAATGCTTGTCATTTGCATGGACTCAAGCCCGACGCCCCTTGTGTTACCAAGGTCCACGGGACCCGCGGGGCGGCAGCGGAAGGCCACCGCCAGGCCAGACTCACGACTCCCATTCTCCGACTCGGGCATTCTGGCAAGATGGAGCTCCGAGTGGCTGTTCGATCATTGACAGATGGCGCATCGCCAGGGAGGTCTACGAGCTCCATCTTTGTAGAAAATAAGAGGTGGTGTGTTGGGTTTTGTTGGAGTGCCGAGAGGCAGAAGAGTTTGTGAAAAAGGAAATTGTAGAGAGTACAGTTAAGAGAAGGATAAGGAAACACAAAATCTCGAAGGCTTTTAGCGTCCATGTAAGACTCGTTGGTTACCTACGGAAGCGGAGGGTTAGCAAATACATTGCCTGGAAAAGCGTAACTGTGAATATATGTGGTATTTATATAATTATTGTTTTCCATTCATATGAACACATATCCCCTTCCCCACACAAAACTTATGCGCAGACATCCAAATATACATCTGAAACGCGCGCTTGCCCTTATGGAAAATGCAGACTCCTAAACAGGCACATTACAATCACGGTATTACCAAAATGCTTCACTGGATCCTGGGATTTCCTTCATCACCGGCTCATACACATTTCCCCTCCAAAATCTCTTAAAGAACTGCGGCGCACTTTCAGGATTGGACCCCAAGCTCCCGGAGTTCGTTTTGCAACGACAGAGGAAGCGATGCAACGGGTTTGTCGCGCCCACAGCCAGGCTAGCTCGAGTCCTCGACTACGATGGAGACGACGAGTGGACGCCTGAGAAGGAGAGATCTAGCAGGTAGGGCGATGATTCCACTAGGCATAAGGAATGAGAATGCATGTACAGTGCTTTTGCTGGAAGTTAATATGGAGGTTAATTGT